ATTAATAAAAGCCCTGCAATGTCGGTAAAAAAGAAAGTTGTGGTTGAGAGATTTATCTACAAATTTTGCAGTAAAGTTCCAAAAGTAATCTCCCCAACAAAAGAACCTTAAGCATCTGTGACCACCATTGTCGCGAATTCACAAGGTTACCTGCAGAAAATATCAAAACAAAAGAAGACCATAACTAAACTAAGAGTATGATACACTAATCTCTTTCTTCCTCAAATCCTCATAGATTTCACCAGTAGAACTGGGATTAACTAACATGTCTGAAAAAAAACAGAGATCCATCAGAGCTTATACACAATCATCTAAACAGACAGATTGAAATCAAAGAACCAAATCCAAAGCTCTTTTCACCAAAAAAAAAGAAGAAGAGAATTTTCAGCTAACTATAAACAGAGCATCCAGAAAAACTCAATAGTTGGAAACAGATGAATCTTATACAGACAGCCGCACTACTTCTCAATCTCAACAACATAGGCGGTTTCGTCGATGGTTGAAAGAGACAGATTAGACAACACCAGAAGAGAAGGACCCAATGTTTGTTTGATTGGAACCTTCTAGCTTGTGCGGCGGAGGAAGAGAAGAGAAGGACCCAAGGTTTGCTAGGGCATCGAGTTCTTTACCACCTCTCGTTCTCTCTCTCTCTCTCTCTCACGCAACTAATCTGCTCTCAAAAAATAATTGAAAAAGAAAGGAGACAAATCTCATGCGTTGATTTACTATCATCTAACGGTGCCAAAGGTGATCCGAATCCAACCAATAAAAAACAAAGGCAGGGATAGATAAGAGATTGATTGTGGACCTTTGATTTAAAAAGTAATCAATGGTTCAAAAAAACAGCACATATTATCTTGTTTTTTTTCTTTAAAATTGTTGTAAAATTATTTAAACTTTAAATAATTTGATAACATTATTTAAAAAATTTAATATGTATTTTGTATTTAAATTTATAATTGTGTGACTGACTAAAATATTAAAAAATTTAATGTTTTATGATATAGATCAATATGAAGTAAGTTGTAGGAGTTTAGGGATTGAATTTATGTTATGAATATACTCATTTATTTAATTTTTATAGTTTTTATAATTTCATAATTTATGTATAAAATAATTGTATTAAATTTAAATTTTATGATTTAATACTTCTTGTATAGAGTTTGGAATATGATATAGGGTTTGGAGTTATAAGTAGGGTTAGAGGTATATGAAAGCTTTGTATTATAATGTTTAAATTTGAATATTTCTGTATGCTATTTGATTATTTGGATTAAAATGTTTAAAGTTGAAGATTTATGTATAAAATGGAATTAGGGTATAAAATGAAATTTTAAATTATTTACAGGATTATTATTTATTTAAAAATTAAGATTTAATGTTTTATGATATATGTTAAAATGAGATATGTGGTTTAGGGGTTAGGGGTTAGGGTTTAGGATTTAGTAGTTATAAGGTTTATTTAAGATTGGATTTATAATTTTGTATAATTTCATCATTTAGTATAAAATAATTGTTATAAATTTAAAATCTTATGATTTATTACTTCTTGTATAGAGTTTGGAATATGATATAGGGTTTGGAGTTATAAGTAGGACTAGGGGTATATGTAGAGTTTGTTATATAATGTTTAAAGTTGAATATTTATGTATAATATTTTTGTGTTTGGATTAAAATGTTTAAAGTTGAAGATTATGTATAAAATGGAATTTAAGATATAGGGTTTGAGATATGTAGTTAAGGTTTAGGGCATGTCTAGAACTTAAGGTAGTTTATTTATATATATATATATTTTTTAAATTATATTCTTGAAATTGCAATTTAATAAAATTTGATTTATATATTAAAAGTATTTTGTAAATTAAAATTGAATTACAATTTATTCCTAAATTAAAACTAGTTTACATATACAAATAAATCAAAAATGGTTTAAATGTAAACCAAAAAGTAAACCAAAAAAGCTAAACCTAAAAAGAAACCTAACTCTTCATGCCTCCACCTCCATTGCTGCCGAGCTCCACCTCCGCCTCTTCACCGGATCTATCAACCACCATCATCCCATTGTCTTCATCTGCCTACAGAATCTGGAACAGCTACGACTCGACTCATCCTTCGTTATCCACCACAACTTTTCCCTAAACAATTAAAATACGTTTCAACCAAACTTGAATCCAGGTTTCTGGGTTACTGTAGTAAGAAAAGATATGAATGTACCTTTCTGGGAATCAAATCGAAGAATGGAAACTTGGCTACTTTGAGACATAGAGGTTGCGAGAGATGGTGATTGAGAGAGAGAGGCAGAGACGTCGTGTGGTGGTAATGGTGGTCGGGATAGTGAGCCTTGCTTCTTCTTCGTGGTGGTGATGATGGTGAGTCATAAACAAAAGACGTGTGGTGGTGGTGATTGAAGAAGATACAAATTCGAAGGAGAAGAATAGATTTATAAAAAAAACATTTATGTAAATAAATTTAAATACATTTATGTAAAGTATAAACATAATTTTTGGGGTTTATATTTAAGACTTTAAACTTTAGATTTGAACTTAAGTAATAGAAAATATTATAGTTTTAAAATTTTTAGTTAGAGTTTAGGGTATATGATTAGTTTAAATAAATTTTAAGTTTGGAGATTAGAAAGGTTTGAGTATAGAGTTTAATGTTTAGAGGTTTGAGGTATTGACTTTAAGATTTGAGATTAATTTTTGAAAATATTAATTTTGAATTTATATTTAAGATTTTAAGTTAAAATATTAATGATTAAAGTATTTGTTTAGATTTTATGGATTGTGTTAAAATTTTGGTTTTGGGGTATATGCTATAGGGTATAGAATTTTTGGAGAGAAATAAAATGAAGTGAAAGGGAAAGTGAAATGACAATGAGAGGGAAAATCAATTTTTCCCGCTTTAGTTTTACATAGCGTTTCAAAATTAAAAGTGCTATGTATACTATGTTCGGAAAAGTGTTAAAATCGGATTAACTAAATATAGCGTTTACATTTTTGCAAACGCTATCTAAAACTAAGGGGTATGTCAACGATAGCAGAAAGAGAAAAAACGCTATCCTTGACTGCTATAAAAACCCATTTTTCTTGTAGTGAAAGGAATAAACTTTCACCAAAGTATCAAGTGTTTAGGAGAGAAAACAAGATAAGATCCCTAAAAACATGCTTAAAGGTATTTATATGGTACTTAAAAACGCTAATGGGCTTAACTCACAGGTTAATGAGGCCCAAAATAAAACATAAACTCGACATGTGAATAGTGCTGGAGCGGGGGTCAAAGGTCGGGTGAGACCCCGCGCTGGCGTACGCTGGACCTGGAGCGACCCCACTTGGTCGCTGCGAGACCTCGCTCCAACACTTCTTTGATGTTCTTCAGATGACCTGTCCAGAGCGGGGTGCATAAGTCGGGTGGGACCCCGCGCTGGCGCACGCTCGACTTGGAGCGACCCCCCTTGGTCGCTGTAAGACCCCGCGGTGACACTTGATGCACAACTCTTCTTCGGGTATGTTCTGTCTGAAGCGGGGTCTAAAGGTCGGGTGAGACCCCGCTCTGAAGCTCGCTCAAGATGGAGCGACCACCTAACCCCGCGCTCAGACCTCGCTGTGACACTTGACACTCGCATGTTGATCATTTCAGCCTTTCTTGAACCAAAACTACTCCAAACTCCCTTAAAAGCTTCTTGAGGTACTCCATCACCTAATGTAAACAAATGCAAATGGATATGCAACCTAAAAATGCTTTTATGCAATACTAAACTCTAATATGCATAAGAAATGGTTAGTTAATTCAATGAAAATCACAAGATATCAAACATCATGTTTGTTGAGTAGCAGAAGAAGGAGGTAGGTTCACTTGGCGGTGAAAAACGAGGAACGTGGCGGCTGCGAGCTGTCATGCATGAAAGACACGTTTCAATATGTATTTCGATTTTTTCACGCAGCATGTGGAAAGACACTAGTGATAAACCTACTTTCATGTTTAATATGCTGAGCTTTTAAAATTGTTAATGAATGAAACTAAGTCCCACATTGGTAGTTGGAGAAATAATTAAGTAATATATAAAGGGTTAGAGCCAATCCACTTATCACCAATTGGTTTTAAGTTGGAAGCCCATAATAAATCCGAATCTAACATGGTATTAGAGCGTGTTTCGATCATTGGGGCACCCCGTGGATGTAGTCCCAGAAAACTCCACGCATCAGATGGTCATGCTTGAGCGTGAGGGAGGGGGGTGTTAGTGTGTTAAGTCCCACATCGATAATCTCAAAGAGAGTCAAGTAATATATAATACAAATGAGCCAATTCACCTATTGCCTTAAGGTTTTGGGTTGAAAGCTCATGGTTTATCATGGTATCAGAGCCACCCGATGATGGGCCACTTCGTGGATGTTGTTCGCACAGTTGTCCACGCATGAGCGTGAGGGGGAGTGTTAATGAATAAAACTAAGTCCCACATGGGTAGTTAGAGAAATAAGTAATATATAAAGGGTTAGGGCCAATCCACTTATCACCAATTGGTTTTAAGTTGGAAGCCCATAATAAACCCGAATCTAACAAAAATATTATGTTTACTAAGTGCGTTGCTCCGCGCGTTGTTTTATGTTAAAGATGTGTTCTGATGTTGGCTATCTTTCATATGCAAAAAAAAAAATATAAACTGAATCATTTAAAAACAGTCAAAACCATAGTAAATGATCTAAAAAAAAATCTTTAAAAATACAATATCTACTATGAATAAAAGGGGCAAATAAAGCCTTTAGAGAGTGTACACGTTGGTTAAAATAATCAACCACTCATGAAAGCCTAAATCGCCACGTAAGCAATGACAGAAGAGAGAAGTTGGGCCTTTATTGGATATGGAACATTTTAATCTCAAAGGCCCAGGAAGGCAATTTCATTAAAAGCTGCGTGACCTGATTCGTCTTCTTCTCTGCGATGAAACCCAATCAGCCTTCCACCTTCCCATACGATACAAATCCTAATCCTAATCGTCGGAGATGACTAACCCTCTCGATTTTCGCTCAGGCTTCACCTTCGTGATGATCGTTAAGCGTCGCTATCATGTCAAGCCATCAAGCTCACCCACGATTCCCACTAACTCTTCTTCAGTTGAGGTATCGCTATACCTTCTGGACTTCATCCCACTCTCACGTATATTTACACCTCCTCATAGAATTAGTTGTATCCTTTATCTCTTCTGTTTTGTAGAGCTTCTTGGTTTTGATCAAACAACTTCTCAAATCTATTTCTCCGAATTGAAATGGTCCAGACAAGACTATTTCGCTTTGGGGAGGCCAGAATTTTAAGAAAGGGCGTCAACGGATGGCGTTGATATGGTTCTTATTGATGCGAAGGTAAACACAAATATTTTTACATATTTTTAAGCAGATTCTTTTACTCGGTATTCGTTGTATTCTTTTTCATGTATTCCTTTCGCAGGCCACGCTAATCCAAGGGTCAGCTTGGAATCATATCATGGAAGAAGGCACTGTGTATAAGCTGACTGGTTTCGATGTTGCAAGAAGTGCTTTGAGGATTTGGAGTGCTCTTACTTGATAGACAGAGCACTTGAGTGGGAAAACAGGTCAGATTCTGGCACAAATCAGAAAAGAGTGACCATCTGGCAAGTTTACTGCAACTCTAGATAGTTGTAGTCAGAACCTAGATAGTTATGTTTGTAAATCGGAAGTTATCATCTTGCCCCAAGCTGAAACAACTTTGTTTTAACATTATTGTGTGTTTCTCATTTCAGGACAATGAGTATATGAGGCTTCTAAACATTGCAGCTTTCGCTGTATCTGGCTATGCGTCCACGAAAGGCAGGCAATGCAAACCTTTTAATCCTCTACTTGGTGAGACATATGCAGACCTCTGCTAAACGCTTGGTTAAAGAGCATTCTTGTCTGGAACTCAGACACAAAAGGAAACCAAGCTAAGAACGCAACCGGCGTGAACAGAAGCAAACCCAAGCAATGAGTATTTTGTCTATTCAATCTTTTTTTTTTTAAATAAAAAGTTTTTCTATCTTCAGTTTTTGTTTTTACCTTTTGTCACAAAAATAAAACGTAAAATATATGTTTCACCGTGAATTAGTGTCAACGATTGTCTTGGTTTGCAGATACCATTGGAGAAGTTAGAGGCATGAAAACCATTTACAACCAAGCCACCAAGAGCACTCAATGCCTCATCGCAACCTTAAAGCTTGATACTTGATAGGTATATGACAATTCTCCTGAATCAATAAAGTGTGGAAGTTTTAACATACACGTATTTTCCTATATTTGCGTTCAATGATTTGGATTTATCCTCACATTTGAGAGACACTCATGTCTGTCTGAGTGTTTTATGACGCTAGCTGCAGACCTAGAGAGAAAATTATTGAGTTCTGGTGTTGAACCGAAGGTGGATATTGCAACAAATATTAACCCTTTTTGTTAGAGGTAAAAACATCTCCCTATTAAGCTAGGTTCTAGATGGTCTTGGGTTAAGTTCTACCTTTGTTCAAAGCATTTGTGCTCATGTTTTAATATCATAACTACATAGGTTTCAATACAAAGATGTTTTTAAATACCCCACCAATCATTTTTGTTATATGTTTTAAAATGGTCATCATTCCAGGGTGGATGTTTCTCAACGCAACCTCGGACTCCCATTTTTATTTTGACAATGACTGGGGAGATAGCTGTAGTTAGTTATCTTAAAAAGTAAGCTCAGATCTGTTTATTTTGTTGATTAACATGCTCATCTTAAACGCAACTGATAACCTAACCGTAAATTGTTGGTGTGCTAAGGTAGTGGCACTGATGAGGGATCATCAGGCTGCATTGAACATGTTGCTCACCATATCTTAAAACACTAGAACGAAGCAGAGTTCCTTGCACTGCGGTCGTCGATAGCATTGACACTGCACACAGATGGTGCTATATCTCATGTTCCAAGCTTTAACGCAAACTGCAACGTGGGTTCTCAGTTTTTTCTTGCTATGCATGTCAAAACGACAATGCGTTTGGCGTTGTTAGGTAATTTTGTAGCAACTCAATGTCACTAAAGAAATACAGTATCTAGGAGATTTTCAGCTAACATGAAGATAAGCTCTTTACAAGTTCTCTTCTGACTACAGTTGACATTCTTTTATAAGTAAAACGATTAGTATTATGTTTTCATAATGTCTAACCAACACTAGATACTTTTATCACGGTAAATAAACTTCTTTTTTACACATCACTTAAATAAGTACCTATAAAATATAAAATACCACTAAAATCAATGACACACAAAATCAAACAATAATATATGCTTTGCATTTCTAACCCAATGCTTGAAAGTTAAAGTAGAAAATAATTAAAACAATTATAATTCATTATTTTAATAAAATGCAAGATATACTTGAGATATCTAAGAAAAATAACAAAACAAATAATTAAAGTTAATGTTACAAGAGTAAATTTATTTAGTAATATTGATTAAATTTAAAATATTTATATTTTTACACTCACTTAAACAGTTTTATAATTAATCCAACCCTCAGACTTCTTTTTTTAGTCAATCACAAAAATTTTGCTGTCTTTTTCTGTTCTTTAAAAAAAAAAAACTGAGCTCTCCAAATCTATCAAGAACACTTAGCAGTTATAAATGTGAGTCTTCTTATTCACATTTATTATCGTTAGAACACTTATATATACATACAATTATATACACCAAGATACAAAACATAACCGATCTATATATATGGTCAAATACTTCTTTAAGGCTAAAAACCTCCAACTTGAGAAAAAAAACATCGAAGTTGAATAGAAAAACACTTAACTCAGGATTTGTATTTATAAAAATTTGTAAACAACTTTAATTTATAGACAAGCTTATGATAACAAATTCATGCTAAAGCACATGATGCATCATGTATGGTTATTCATTGTCTCTTATACATTTTAAGATCTGAGATTAATATGTAGTGTATATCTTAAATAGGATAAAAATAATAGTTTTATTAAAATGTGTGAAAATTAAATGAAACATATATAATTGTAGGCTTATATTGACACTATATTAATGTGTCATTATAGTTTCTAAAAAGAATAGTAATATACGTAGATAAAAATGTTGTAAAACAATTATGAACCTTAATGTTATCTAAATGTATGCATTTTTCATAACTTTTATTATTATTTTAATGTTTTGGTTCCAATTGTCTAAACTACCATATTCTGAATACAAATGTTTATATTTACATTAGCTACATTTACCCTCAATTTTTTAAAAAAATAAATAGATACTTATAATCATAGAATTAACTAATCTACACTTAAAGTTTAGATTTGAGGGATATTGTTTTGAAAGATGAGGTATATGATTTTAATAAATATATAAATAAATACTTACCTTTTTTTAAAAAAAAAAATAGTTTAATTTTTTTGAATTTGAAAATAAAAATTTGAAAAAAAATTTAAGAAATGAAAATTCGAAATATATAAATTTTGAAAAAAAGAAATTTTGAAAAAAAAAATTATAAAAAGTTCTAAGTTGAAAATGTATAGTTCAATGACTATATAATAAAAAAACTAAACATTACACCAAATACTAAATATGGACAGTACATGGCAAAGAAAAAGAATAACATGTGTTTCTCATCCTTTGGTATGTTAGTTACGTTAATTATTTTCTTGAGTTTAAATATTAATCTTATTCTAAATTAACAAAAAATAAGTGGCAGAAGAGAAAAAAAACATATTCCAAATAATAAAGAGAAAATCCTGTAAAAATATTTCAACAAAAAATTTCTCAGAATTTTTAATCCACAAATTTATTTGATAATATTTCAACTAATTGTTTTGCTCATTTTCATATATGTGCTCATTTTACTACCCAACCTATTCTTATTTTAATCAAAAATTTAAATAAATTCCAAAAAAACTTAAAAAAAACTTTGAAATAAAAAAGAAATCTGAGAATTTTCAAATTTAATTAGAAATTTAGGAAAGTATTAACTAAGTTGTGGATAAAATATTAAATTTAGAAAGTATTTAAATAAACAAATTATTTAATTTTAAACTTCAGAAAGAAAACTAAATTTTAAATGAGTACAGTTTTGAAGATTTTTTTAAATTTTCATACGAACTTATAAATAATTTGGGTATTAAAATGAGTACAATTTTAAAATTAAGTGTATTAAAATGAATAAATAACTAATTTAGGTTGGAAATTGGATAATAAAAGTGTTTAGGCATTAAAAAGCTTAATGATATTTAGTTGATATATTTTCATAGATTTTTTCCAATAATAAATTAATAAAATTTTATATAGTTTATTAAATTAAATATAAATTCAAATAATTCAATGGGCATAATAGTACAAAAAAATTTTTAAAGAAAAAAAAATATTAGACGCCAAAAAAAAGAAATAAAATATTAAAATATATAATCCGCGCGTAGCGCGGAGAAAGAATCTAGTGGATATAATAAAACAATTCCTTAAGCCAGTAGTCTATATTCAACTATTAGATTATAATATGGGAATTATGCTAATATAGAACAAAAAAACAGCATTCATGTCGCATTAGTATAAATCATTTTTTGTCCATTTTTTCTCCCTTTTACCCTTTCTATTTACAAAATTAATAAAATTAATAATTCTATGACTCGAAAAAATATATAAAAATACATAGAAGTGATGAAATACCTATATACACAAAATAAAATTTTTAATATTTTCAAAAACTTGTTAAATTAAAAATTTTAATTACGTTCTACGAAGAGTAGAACTCATATTCTACGATAAATCGCATAGTAGAACTCATATTCCTCGTTAAACAGTAAACTCTACAATTTTTAGAAGCTATATTCTACGTCTGTATAGGACTCTACATATTTTAGAATCTATATTCTACGTTTATATAGAATTCTACAAAATAACTGAATGCGGGTTCTACATATCTCAGAATACGTAATCTACACATAACTCAAACCTCTACTATTAGTAGAATTTGCTTACAGTGGACGTTAGTAATTCTACTTTCTGTAGAAGATAGCTTCTACAGATAAGATTAAACAAAAATCTGAAAATTTGGGAAAATATTTAGGAAAATATTCAAAAAAAATTTTTTAATAATTGCACTTACCTTAAACTTGGGAAACTGATTTCTCACGTCTCCCAAATCCCTTCTGTGTTGACTCCATTGTTTCTTCTTCATCCAACCTACTCTCCATTATTTCTCTTTTGATTTTTCACAAATTTTACTGTGTGATGCATATCTATACCACTTGTGATGTATGGGAGTTAAGTACTACAATGGGATGGGTGTTTTCGGCTGATGAAAAAGGGGGTAGGTTACAGTTATTGGAATCAAGTTCTACATTGGAGGATTTAAAGAGAATGGTGTTTGAGGATTTTGATATGGAAGAAGTCATATTGGTCGATATGGTAGCCATATCCTTTAGTAATTTGGATGAAACATATCTATGCCATCATTATTTGTAATGGAAGCCTCTCAGTAACTTAATCTTCGATTCTTATTACTTCCATTTCTTTGGACAAATTTATTGTTTTATTTAAATAAAAAACTTAAAAGTATCTGCTACATCTTGTCCTGTGAATAATATATAACTGCCAACGTCTTTTCTTATTGCTGGTCTTCTCGAGTGATACATCGATGAAGTGTGCAGAAATAGTTTTTAAAAAGTAACGATCAAAGAAAAGACTGTAAAATTAAAAGAAAGTGCGTCGACATAAGAAAAAAAAAAACAAAAAATATCACCAACTTCTGGTCGAATGTTTGGTATTTGTTGTTAATATTCTGTGACGCAATACATAGAAGAAACAACTGGTTTTCACTCAGGTTCTCTCCGGACCAGCTTTTCCTTTTCTGGACCGTTTTCTTGTCCTCTTTTCTGTACCGCTTTTACCACCTTTCTTGCCCTGAAAATCCCAAAAAACATTGGAGAAATTTAGTCACACCATCCTATTAAGCAAAAGCTGTCAAAAGTTTCTTTATCTAACCTCTTGTCCACCAGGTTTCGATTCAGCTTTGGGTTTTGATTGAGGTTTCATGGTATCTGTCACCTTCTTTTTCTTCATGCATGAAAGTGGATTGGACCCTGCAAAGTTTTTGAGACAATAATGTTAGTTCATCAAAGAGACTCAATGTAATCCCAAAGGTTTTAGAACGAAAAATATGATGGTTAACATGTTCTTTGCTATATGTTACTAGCGTGAATTTACATTACCTTTGCTCTATTTCGCTTGAATTGGGGTCTATCCTTCACACCGAGTCCATTTCTTGTACTGACCACTCGAGGCGTTTCCCATTGTTCGTCTTCAGCTGTTCCTTCTCCTCTTCTAGAAGCTAAGATTCTCGCAGTCTGTTTCTCCAACATCCACTTCTCTGCATCGGTCATAATTAACCTCTTACAAGTTATACAACAACAAGGTCTGGCACACTAACAAAAAAAACCTCACATTCAGTACATAAAGCTCATCATTTCAATCACACCAAATAAACTTCATAAACATTATACAAATTCCATGCCTGCAACTTCATAAGCTCATCATATCAATCATATAAAATCCATTCATACAAATTATACAAAAAAAAACCCATACTTTATATAGGTTGATTAAGCTTACCATATCAATAATAGCAAATCATTTTCATACACATTACATTAAAAAAAACACTTTATATATATTGACTCAGTTCATCATATCAATTGCCTTAAAAATCGAATCCTAAATTCTCAAAAGTTTGTTAACTGATCTCTCACACCAAATCCTACAAGACAAACAAGTTCACACACAACCAACCCATCTCTTGGACAGATAAAATCAAAGTAAAGATAACGACGACTTACGTTGCAGTGCTAAGCATCTGAGCAGCCTCAAGCGACTCCATAAAATCTTTACCCAGTTTCTGCAACTCCGCAACCACACACTTAGTGGTGAAAAGCTTTACGGGACCTTCGAGTAGCTCGGAGATGACTGTGTCGGCGGGAGTGATCTCACGAGAAACGAGATGGTGGACGAAAGTACCATCGCAAAGGACTTGAAGGGCTGTCGATAACCGAAACACACAGTAAAGAATCTCACTGTTCTTCTGTTCTTCTTCTGTCGCTTCACTCTCATCTTCTCTTCTCTCTAGATAGGAAACGGATTTTCAGAGGCGAGGAAGGTGGGATTACGGTTTTAGAGTTTAGGGTCTGGTGATGAACGCCGATGGGTTTCGGGAGAGAGGACACTTATTTGTTTGGTTCGTCGGTTTAGAAATAATAGGTTTGCTATGGTAAAATGCAATCGAGTCACTTGTTCTCTCTACCCATCGTCGCCAAATGAGATGATTTCGCCTGAGAAGATCTCCCCATCGATTTCACCGGAGAGGAAAAAATCGCCTTTGCCGGAGAAGACACAATCACTTTTGTTTTCTTCTCGAAAGAGAGAAATGGTTTACCAAATTAGGGTTACGGGAGAGTGAAAGGGATGTTCCCTTTTTGTTTTTATTATTATTTTAATCCCCTTAGTTTTGAATTTGATTAATATTTTATAAATTGAATTCTAATTAAATTTTTTGTTTAATTACATTAATTTAGGGTTACTTCTGGGATTATAAAAAATATTATACTAAATGGATAAGAGTAATAAGGATTTATACTAAAATGACATAAAGGCTGTTCTTTTGTTCTATATTAGCATAATTCCCTTATAATATTTGATCTGAAGCCAGTTTCGAAAGTGGAGAATACCCTTTCCATTAATTTAATCTTAACATCAAATTCTCTTACAGGGCCGGCTCTGACCTAAAGCTGGGAAAGTACCCGCTTTAGGCACCAAAATAGATTAAATATTTGTAGGCATCATATTTACTGAAAGCCTCTTTTATCTTAGTGGCTGTTTGCCGCCTAGATGAGTTAATGGTGCCGAGTTCGAAACCAGAGGGGAGCCAAATTTTGTTTTGCTTTAGGCAGTAATATATACTGGCCAGATCTGCTCTTAGATCGACATCTCCATAGCCACCATTCTGATCAAATATCTTGCACACTCATACTCCAACTGGATCACACTATAAACAAATACTCTCTGTTTATTCAAATAACATTTAGTGTGTGTGTGTGTGTGTGTGTTTTCTAAACTGAGAGATTAAGAGAATGATAAAATTAAAACATAATCTTACATGAGCTTCATCCTCTTGAGATTGCATAGACCTGAAGATGGCTTAGAAACGCACTGCATACTATTGAGACACTCCCTCTAGAGATTCCCCATTTAGCTCTCGGCTGACCAACTCAAGTATTAAATATTGTTTCTGAACTACAGATCACTATAAATACGAACAATTAAGTTTGGAGGTTTTAGCTCACCTGGTATTTTTCTGCAGGAACTTGAGTGCTGATCTGTGGATTTGGGGTGATATGCGTTCTCTCTCTTCTTCATATACTTCATTGTGCATTATACAAAGGGTTTCATTCTTGAAGAAAGCGAAGGAAAATGTTATAAAAAGATGTCTCTTCTTAACTTCATTTTTCAGTACTGCTTCTGACTTGAAGCTGTGAATGGTAGTCATATCAATCACATGCGCTGTCATTCCCTCACAAATCTGTGTGTCAAAAATAAAATTTTATTGTAAATTTGTCAAAGAAGAAAAATAACTCTTAACTTTACTATGCATCATGTTTGGAAATAAATCATGCGTAGTAGTAGTCTGGGTCATTTTCAAGTCACCTTACTTGGGGAGACAAGAAGATGAGCTAGCAAAGCTTGCAGAGAAAACAGATTAATGGGTTTGAAATCTTGAGACGCCGCTATGGAAGCTTCACAGAAGAATAAACTCATGGTTGTTGTGGGGTGACGTAAGCCTGCAAATAAAATCCAAAAGTAAGATTTCTTTTAATCAAAATGTAACCAATTTCAAAGTAATTCATCAAGAAAGCTTAGCTCACCCACTCATATGCATAGTACGTAAGGAAAAGAGAGTTAAATGATCAACTATAAAGATTCATCACAGACAAAAACCAACGAATTTTGTGAGCCCTTGCCTCTTGTGTACCTCGTAGATGTGGATACGTGAGAAGCCTGCAAATTATCATATTATTAGTTTGCACGATCCATTTCAAAAACCACTGATGAGGGATATCTATGGGCAAGAAAAATAGAGGATTAAAAAGATTTGAGCCCAATTAGCATACTGGGTTCCGAGCTTACCATAAATGAATGACCCTGAAGATCAGCTTCACTTCTCCCAAGCGCCAGGAATACGTCGTTGATGAACAGAGAAGACGGAGCTATGCCGTAGCTTTCCACATGTCTATGGAGTGGGGAGAATCATATATCAGAGTCAAATCATATAGGGTGATTCCACACAGAATTTTGGCTCTGCTTGGTTGGTGCGTGACTCACAAGATCTACCTATATTTCATAGTAGAAGAGCTTTTGCTCTAGTAGAATCTTCGGTGGAAGCTAGCTTAAGTTTTCTCTGGTGGGTGGTTGAAGATTTACATGATTTACGTATCAAAAGAGCTATTGTGGAAATTCCTCCGTAATATTATGGGAAGCAACCTCCTCGCCTCAGCGTTTCCCTAACTTGGGTGCAGAGACTTCACGCATCCTCCATCAACTGCATAAATTCCAAGACTGTCAAGTGGAGAGGGTGTCAGATGAGGTGAATGTTATTGCTGTTGAGATTGCTGTAAGTGTAACTAAGGACGTCGGTACCAATCGTATAGAGCGAGGGGTGGTCCTAGTTGGGTGTCGTCTTCCTTGAGAATACAGGCAGTGGGTATTGATCAAGCTTCCTAGCCAACTCTAGGCTGAATAGACGCTCAGTGAACATGTGTTAAGTTCTGTCCCCATTACTCTCCTTTACTTGGTTGCTATGCATCTACTTATGACTTTATTCTTATCTGATTTGAACTTTGCTCCGCTTTGTTGTTGTTTCCCCGGCAAGCTCCTTGTCTTGCTATTTTTGAATAAAAGTATTCATTGACAAAAATAGTAAAGGAATTAATCGGACTGTAGTGCATAATAATGAAAAGAGGAAATTATATGCAAGATCAGAAAGTTCAAACCTGTGATAGCATCCTACGCCAAAACGATATTTTCTGAATAACCGATCCAAAAATATATTTATCCATCAGAAGTTCGAAAGCTTGTGTTACCATTCATTCATTCATTCATTCATGGTTTTGGTAAAAGGCTAATAAGAGTCCCTTCCTTTATATGACATCTCCTGAAAATAAATTCAAAGATGTGTATTCATGGTTTTGGTCAAAAGCTAATGAGAGAGCCCCTTCTTTTTTTTTGTAAGAGAAAGAGACTTAACTTTAATTTAGAACTAGTGGTATTCCGGCGCTACGCGCCGGTTTTTTATGTTTTATTTTTACACAAATTTACAATTCATATTATAGTCTTAGTAAAGAACATATGTTCAAAAACATGATATTTTTAGATTCATTTAGTGACCGTTATGTGTATTATTTGTTTTTTTAGTTGCTTAGTACGAAGTAGAATAACATAATTGATTTTGATTAATCGATTCAATATGAGTAGAATAAAAAACTGATAGTCATATCCAAGGAATTTAAACATATAGTAATTGTTTTATTTAAAGAACATATATATACTGTTGAGTACCGTGTGGGCAATATATAGAAGGAACAACATTTGAAATTTTGTTTTAGAGACTAACCTGCAGAATTTCTTATTAATAACTAAGGTAGTTAAGCTCATCTTTATCCGTAAGCACTAAAGGAAAGCTTTCTATAATTTATTCTTTGTAACTCTGATTCTATTCTCCATATTGGATTCAAATAACAAAGCATGCTCAAATGTATGGCCGTCGCAAGTTTTTTTTTGTGGTTGCTGGTATTACTTTTTCTAATTTGTTTACCACAAAAGTAAAGATATTATAGATTTTTACTCTCAATTAATAAATACTATTGATTTTTAGGTTAAAATTATTTTGGAGACGAAAACCTAAAATAGGCTACTGGTTATCTGTCCTCTTAGACTATTTTTTCTGGGTCACCGGATTTACCGGTTTAACCGGGATACGGTCGGGTTTCAAAAAACTGCCAAAATTTAAAAATCGGCTAAAACCCATAAAACCCAAAACCCGATACTGGTTGAACCACCGGTTGAACCGATAAACGATTTTTACTTTTTTTAAACCTTATAAATTTAGAATTATATTTTTAAAATCTGTTTTGTATTATATTAAGGAGTTAGGTTTTCAGTTTTATTTTTCGACGTCATTCTTTTTCTTTCCTCTGTCTACTTTGTATTCTTTTTTGTGTTTTTGGTTTTTGATTATTTTTCTTTATCATTAATCTACCTTTTTACATGTTATAAGTTTTAAGTTCTAAGATGTTTAAGTTTATTATTATTGAAATTATTTGTTAGATGTAATAAGTTTTTTCAAGTTACAAAACAAATTCTAGCCTAAACTATTTTTAATGTTTAATATGCCAAATGAAAATAATAAATATTATTACATAATAGAATTAATTAATTAGTGGACCGCGGTTGACGCGGTGATCCGGTGACCCGGTAAGTCGTCCGGTTTAGTGTTTGGGTCGGGTTTCAAAACATTGGAAGAAACCTAAAAATATGATGGACTTTTCATAGAGTTTTCAAAGGCCCATCATAAGTTATAATAATAGCTCAAAATTATATAAACAGTCCACTACGATAGAATCATGAGGTAAACCAAAATCAATTCGGAATGGTTTAGTGAATTGACACGTGGCGGAGAAGCCCCCTATATAAAAAATGAGATGGATAGCCTAAGAGGGCAGATAACTCAACTTTATTATTATAGATGATCCTTTGGGAACTGCTACTAATTAAGGCCATGTAGCTGTTGGAGATGGTTTGAAACTCTTTGCATTTTGGATTTAGCTTAAACTCATGAATCAGACTTAAAGCTCATTAGTAAAAGCCAAACAGCAAAAACGGCAAAAGCCTGACCTAAACATGGTGGTTCAAATGCATACGACCTAAGAATCATATTGTGACACCCGTCACTTTGAAACCAATAATAATAAATAATAATAAAATAATAAATAATATCTTTATTAAAAATTTTGAAAAGTCAAAGTTCACGTCGGAAAAATCAAGTAATTAGAATAATTTCTGAAATATCGATAATAACATAAACGATAAAATTTCAATAGCGGGAAGGCCCATTAGCGATAAAATCCCAAACGTACAAACTTGTGAAATTCGAAAGATACGAGACGTAAAAGCCCAATAACCCAAAAGCACCGATCCGTTATAATTACTCCTGCTCATCGGTCTCACCTGAAAGGGGGAAGGAAAGGAGGGTGAGCAACAGGGGAGTCGCTCAGTGAGGTAAGGGATGCTAAACCTCAAACCACTGACTCAGTACATAGCACTACGACTATGTAGGCCTAGCTCTAGCATGTAACAAACATGGTGCCTAGTACACCTCACAGAACAATAAATATGTGTCTAGTGCACTAGACAACTACAATCAATGCGATGATAGTACATAGCTACTCTCTGCACCCCGCATTCTCCTCATAAGGATATACATGTATAACTCTACAGGCGTCGCTAGTACGGTAGTCCATTCCGTACCCCCGCAATCTCTAAAGCCCGCTAGTACAAACGTCTCTGTACCCGGCGAATCTCCTCAAACAAGGCGGCGCCAGCACAAACGTCTATGTGCCCCCGCAATCTCCTCAAACAAGGCGTAGCTAGTACAGACGTCTCTGCACCCCCGCAATCTCTCACACATGGACTCGTATATATATATATACATATATATAACAATTCTTATCATCAATCATGTCACACAACCGTTGAATCCTCTATTATCCTATTTCCGGTTAACAATCAATAATAATAAATAAACAAACAAGACTCTCAAATAGACTCGATTCAGAGAGACAGAACATGTTTCGAAACTAGACTTTTCATAATAGCAGTACTAAACTAGTTCAGGATTTAAACGGAGTAGCCCTCACCTTAGCAATGAAGAGAAGTGGTATCTATGAACTCCAGGTGCTCAAATAGACTCCAAATCTGAGATCAGGGCGAAAAATCGAGTCAGAACGGCTTTCGAACGGCTTAAAACGGGTTTCGGGCGGATTAGTCAAAAAGTCAACTCGCAGGTCAAAGTCAACCTGGGTCAAACCTTATCCAAATTGAAATTGAATTAAACCATCCAGTTTTCCTTAACCGAAATCGAATTCAATTGGACCAACCGGTTCGCGATAACCAAAACTAAATCAATTTAATTAACCGGTTTACCCTAACCGAAATCCAATTGATTATAACCGACCGGTTTACCCTAACCAAACCGAAATCAATTAAACCGGTCAACCGAGTTGACTCACCGAGTCGACTCGACCGAGTTGTCCGAGTCGCCGGCGAGTCACCGGCGGCGACGGCGGAGGGCGGCGGCGGCGGCTAGGCGGCGGTCCGGCGGTAGTCCGGCGGCGGAGCACGGCGGCAGACGGTGATTTCCGGCAAAACTTCTGAGCGCGCGTGTGGCTTCATCTGAGGTCGGATCGCGGCATTTTTGGTGTCTACGGATTTGTCTCGACGAGTAGAACACGGTGGTTGCCTTGAATACGCGAGATTCTCAACGGTTTAGGAGTTATCGATGATTTACTGAACGGATAAAACAAAGCTTAATGGCAAGGCGGTTCACGGCGGTTTCTGGTGGTTACGAACGGTGGTGGTGTGCTCAACATGATTCTGGCGTGTGGTGGCTCCGGCGACAGCTCCTGGTAGCTCATGCACAAGGGTTTCCCATTTTCTTTTCTCTTTCTCTCTCTCTCTCTCTCCTTGGTCTCTCTCTAATTTTTTTTTCTTGTGCAGGTGGAGAAAACAAGGTGCTGAGCTAGGATGATGGGTATTTATAGGCACACAATAGAGTTAGCATGCTAACAAATTTCAAAATCCAAAAATCGGGTCGTTACAATTCTCCCCCACTAATAAAGAATTCGTCCTCGAATTCGAGTCATCCGTCGACTATCCAATATCATCGTAGCAAGCTCCAAATAATAAATATGCTCGGACTCTGAAGTCTTCTACTGAACCCCCTCTTTCCCAACAAACTCTGATAACACCGTCGACATTCCCTCAAATGCTTTTATCTGACGATCTGTAATCTTCACTAGATGACAAGTCGCATACAATCTCGTTGAGGTCAACTGAAGGTTACTGCAAAACGAGCTCTGACTCTTTTACATCTTTTCTTAAAACCTAAACATGAAACACGTCGTGGATGTCCGATAACTCTGCTGATAAATCCAATCTGTATGCAATTGCTCCAGTCCGCTCCACAGTAGAATATGTTCCCACATATTTCGATTTACTCTTCTTTAACTTCCGAACATTATTTCCTCCCTGAAATGTCCTTTTATTCAGGTTTACTAGATCTCCCATCTGAAACTCCAAATATTTATGATGCTTATCTGCATAACTCCTCTGACGGCCATGGCTTTTCCAAATCCAACTTTGAGCATGTCTATCTACTCTACCGTCTCTGGAACCATTAATGGTTCTTTTTCATGTCGCTCCCTAACCTTTGTCCAACAAAGTGGTGTACGATGATGCCTATCCAAAAAGAGTCTCATACCGTATATTCTTCATACTTGGATGATAGTTTTCACTATAGGTAAACTGTGCTAAAGGTAGATGCTTCCATAACTCCATTCTCATTCTAAAATGCAAGCTCTCAACATATCTCCCAAGGTCTGAATAGTCCTCTCCGAATGGCCATCTATCTGT